CTGGTTCAATTCTAGTTACTCATCTTGCAGAGTATCTTGCAGAGAAGGCTCAATTGGGCTTGGAGGAATTCAGCATGCCAGAGGCTGGGCACCACTAAAAATGCAAAAAAAAGCTATTTGTCTGGATTCACTTGCTGCTGCACCATCAGTTAGTTCCTTCACTGACATGCTGCTGGCATGGGCTGCTGCAGTTCTGCCTTTTCACTGGAGTAAYCAGGGATGAATGCACACCCTGTATTCTGATCCATCTGAGCTGTGAATGTTTACAGCTGAATTAGACTGGAAAAAGRCAGGTTTTAACAACTTTCTAAAGMARGGAATTAAAAATGGACCTGTTTGGGAAGTGCTTAGATGTGTGTACAGACATTTTTTACACACTTTGCTATAAGAGACCCTTGCTCTGGGTAAAAAGGAGTTTATTATTCTTGGTTAGGAAAGGGACTGAAAGCAGGCAGTGGATCAGAAGAGCTGCTGCTGTGCTGTAGTCTTTGCAGCTCCAATCCATGTAATAGTGCTTCTCCAGCTCATTAGGACTGTTTCAGCCTGTTAGATCCCTGGGAAATAGGGAAATTTGGTGGAATTTTGTTTTTGATCATAATGGCATCATTCATCTGTTTAGTTCAGTAGTGATAGTGATACCTTAGTTCCTTATTGACATAGTGTTTCCTTGGAGAGAACATTGTTTCAGCAGGTCTAGTGGARCACCCTTATTGACTGTGTTTGACTGACACACATCTCCATGGGAGGGTGATGGGAGTGCCAGTAATTTTTCTCATTTTGTAAGAGAAAGGCATTTACTACAGTGTGCAACTCCTATTCCTTTAGTAGTAAGCACCATTGTTTCCTCAAGTTGAATGTACTCAATTGTTGTTTCACTAATAGGGAAAAGSCCCCCCCCMAAAACCAAAATGCYAACAAACTGAGGAGAGAGAGAGAGAGAATGCCTTGTAATTCAGCTGAAAGTCAGAAAACCTTACTCCATTTGCTATGGATATGGAGTTCATGTGTTACTGGGCAAGTTGTTTAATCTTCTCCTGTCCTTGCTGTTCCTTATGTGTAGAGTAGCAACATTCCAAAGCACTGCTGTGGTTTGTTCCTAAAATGTTCTGCTTTGTTCCAAGATGGAATCTTTACTTTTCTTGCGTTTTTGACAGTATCCAGTAGGCTCCAACATGGTTTAGACCCACCCAGTGCATGTAATGAGAGGTCCTGGTGAAAATGAAGGAGTGAAATTACTGTGATCAGTCTGTAAATAGCAGCAGCCRTCTAACATCAGACATGTAGATGTCAGATTGAAATATGTCTTTGGTAACTGAAATGCCTCTTACTTGTTAGTTTGCTTCTGAGTGGGCTTTTTTTTTTTAATGACCTCAGGTTATGTATAAGCAATATGGAATTTAATTCTCTAGTTCACTCAAGTCCAAAATAGTTCAGGATTTTATTTTCGGATTCGTGCAGTGAATGGATAAGGCTATGGAAGTCCTTTCTGTGGTTGCCTATACTCTGCAGCTTGCTAGTAGAGTACATCAAGATTACTTTTTTATTGATATTACTATTAAGTTTTAAAATTATGGTTGTATGTCTCATCAGAAAAAAACACCCTGATGCTTGGTCAACTTCAAACACTTCTTTTTTCTCAGCATTTTTACCTGTGACTGTCATTTTACCAGAGAAAATAATTTCATGGAAGGSTAGTTCAGATGCATGTTTTGTGTAATTTGCAAGTATGGACACTTGCACATAGTTACAGCTGACAGAGTACAGTCAAGAGTGGAAGAAGCRTCTTACCAGCCGTTCACTGCTCCTATGAGAATTTCTTCTGTTTGCCAAGATTTGAGGCCATGTTGTCAAAGGTTTTTGTAGCTTTCGGCTAGTCGCATAGAGTGTAAGCCAATTTGAAATTAAAAAATGRCTGGATGAGCTTTACTATGCAAAAATTAAGCTTGTAACCAAATTTGCCTATTAAACAAAAAGAAATATTAAACAAGAGAGGTTTTATTACCTGAAGTGGGAAAGATTGTGCATACATATCCCTATTAAGTAGTCTGGGTTTTCTGGATGTGCGTTGGAARGACTGTCATAAATACTATTAGCTTTCTCGTGATCCTTATCTATGAGGAATATGGATCATGCCTGCTATTGAAAAATATGCATTTGCTTTAAGTAAAGTAACTGAAATACAAGAATTTATGGAAAATTCAAGAAAGATATTTTCCGATATATTAGCAGAAAGGAGATTGTTGTTGTTCTGTGTTCTTTAATCATTCCTGCCTTACCAAGTAGCTGGAAAAAATAAGTTGTATTCAGTGCATGCTTTATATGTTACATGTGGAAGTGAATTGCAAGAATGGTTTAAGTCTGTTAATCTTCRTTTTGGAATCTTGCCCCACATCCCCCCATATAAATGGAGCTTTTGGTCTTGAGTGGTTATGGATATGCAGGGAACTTACTGGTTTTTCTTCTTCTTTCCCTCCCATATGTTTTTAATCAACMGATTAGACTCGAGATGTTTCAGATCTTCCAATCCTTCCTCTTGCTCCATTGGTCACAATCACAGTCCTGTCTGTATTCATTGTGACAGTGTTTATTGTAGTTCAGTGGCAATGTTTCTGGYGTTTTAGGGACTATACTACCTAGAATTTCACACCTAGCTTTATATTTTAGTGAAGCAGGTTGATTATAATAATGTTTTACAGTATGCAGTATCCTGCATCATCTTGTTTCTGCTCTTCTGGGCTCCATGCTGGTGAGGCAGCATCCCAGGCAGCTTGAGTAGCCTCACAATCTTCTGTCATTGATGCTTTTCCTACTCCCTATATCTGCTTTTTCCCTACAATCCRTCCTTTCTGCTTCATTATCTCTGCATCTCATCTCAGTTTGTAAGCTCTTTGGGATGGCAGTCTGGATTTAGAGGAATATAAAATGTTTTACAATAGTAATTATGCCAAATGTCAGGCACAGACAGACTTGCTCTCATAAACCTGGCAGCATATAAAGAAGGCAAATGAAATTATTTGCATCCTGGTAGATTATTCTTGGTCAGCCAAACTGTTCACCTTCCAAAGTGCTACAAGCAAGCTCTGCTTTACGTGATTTAGTAGAGTGACACTGAAGCAACTTTGGAAGCAAGAGTTACGTTTTATTTGCAGTAAAACAGAATTCAGACGTAGACCCAGTAAATCAAACCCCTCTGGTTTGAGGTGGAGAAATTAGTTCAMAGAAATGGAGAACTTGCAATAGTAAGTCTGCTCTTTGTGCTCAAAGGGTTATTTCATTAAGGCAGCTGAGACACAGAAAGCTTCTTTTGTTTCATCAAAGGAGGTCTGGGTTTATGTTTAGCCAGTCCATGGGACAGGTACTATCTCAGCCTTCACCTTGCTCCTCAAAAGTTTCCTCATCCATGTCATCATTTCTTGTCATGATTAAAAGTCAGTAGATAGCTATGTTCTGTCTGAAAAGAAGAATCTGCTTTTTTTCCTAGGAGCAGTATTTTTTTCATTCTCTGGTCTTTCTTGCCTCTGTGCCCTCTGAAGTGAAAGCAGATTGCATCAGGGTAGGGATATTGTCATTGTACCAGCTGGAGAAGTGACAGAGCTTTCACTGGATTTTTAAAAGTAGCAGCTCAAGAGAAGGGGAGCCCTTTGATATTTTAGCCCTTCTACATTACATTTCAAGCCTTTTGTACCCTTTTCTCCCTATCATTAATCTTTGTGTTCTGTTGATCTTTTAGTGTATATCATTCTTTCCTTCTCTTCCAATCATATGTTGTAAAAGAAAGGTATTGGGTGAAAACTGTGTTATTACAGCAGCACATATTGTTGTACTGTAAAACCAATAAATGCATTTTTTTCTTCTGAAAGAGGAAGAAAAAACATACTTATTTTGGAGGCCAGCGTTGCTCCAGGGCTTCATTTAATTGCTGTCCAGCTGAACTTGTCAGCATCTCCAGGTGCAGATGTATTTATTTTAAACTTCATATAGACTATGGTGAGGGAGAGGGAACAAACAAGTTTGTGAGGAAAGGCAAGCAACATCCATCATTTGTGTTTTGGCTTGTGGTCTTGCAAGGAGGTATTTTGGTGGATTTGGATTAATTTTTGTTCTGGTAATTTACTGCTGGAGGAGAGGAAGAAAGAATCTCCAGAGTGTAGATGATMTTCGCCTGGGGAGCAGTGCAGAAGCGTAATGGAATTTCCTGTGTGAGAGGTGCCTGAGTATTACAGCAAAAACGAGTGTTTGTGGAAACAAAAGGGTAAGGAAAAGGGACACAATAAGAGGTTAGGTTATGTGGATGGAAATGAAAGTTATTAATGTCTGTAGAACTCAGATGAGAAATTTTAAACTTAATCTAGAGCAAGAGAAAAACAATTGAAAGGTTGAAGTAAAGGGTTATGTGAACAGTGTCTTCAGGGGAAATATTACAGTAACAGCTGTGTTTGAGGTGGTGTGGAATGGTCGTTGGATGTTGTTAATGTTACACGAGTGTGGGGTGTGGAAGTGGGGAGCTGAGGGGAGATTCAATGAGAGTAATGATGATAATAGCAGGAGAAAATGARTTAAGATTTAGGGAAACAGAATGCAATGCCCAGGGTTGCTTTTTGGTTGTTTGCTTGGGGCATTCTTTTAGTCATGGTGGATAAGTGGATAGTGGGAATGTTAGAATAATCTCCTAATGACACTATTTTTTTTTTGACAAAGTGAATGGTATTAACCATTCAAGGAGACCTATTTCCCTCTCTCCTGGCAGGTGATCCTTACCAGCTTGCTCAGCTCAGTTTCACTTGTCAAGCTCTTACACTCTCACAGATTGACCACAARTATGACCAGCTTTGGGGGAAAACTTTATTTTAATCTGTTAATGTCTTGTTAAGAAGTAAGACAGACTCCCTTTCAAGAGCTAATACTGAATTAACAGAATGACTTTCCTGTTACAGTAGAAATATAATTATTTTCCACCATAAGTTTCTGCATCCTGATTATAATGTATTTATTTTTGGCAGGGAGGAGTGAAAAGCAGATTCACAAAGATCCTGCATTGACACTTGAAAGGTATGAGTTTCTGCCCTGAACTTGAAAAGTTTATTAACCTTTATTTTTTCTCACCCTGGACATGGAGTGGTAACTTTGTTTCATTCACACTAACTTTGGTCCTTATCCCTCTTGCAAATTTTAAATCAGAGGATGGTTCATTTCATGTCCCTCTGTAGTCCTGATCTCCTTCTCCTGAGATTGTTAACCTGGCAGCCTAATTAGCAATCTGCTACATTTTCTGAGAGGTTGAAGATGTTCACCTGCCCACCAGAACTTCTGGCCTTTTCTCAACAAATGGATTTTAAATTACATGCTTTTCAGAGCATGAAGTCACTTTGAGAAGATGTTTTTGGTTGCAGGTTTTTTTTAAAGGCTTTTTTACCTCTGGCATTCCTTTGTTGCCTGTTTGTGCCTSCCTTTCCAGTATGATTTGCTTCAGTGTRTATTTGGTGTYTGGGAGTTGCTTGGGGTTCTGTAARATTCTGCAGGTACTCASTAGCCTTAWGTGCTGTTGAATGAAGTCACATTAATGTGTTCAGTGGAGTTCTTTTGGTCTCACTCACTGATGAAATTGAGCAACAGAATTTGAACAAAGCCATTCTTCTTTAGCAAGATTATGTATAGACTGAAAAAGGGAAGAAACAAAAAAAAAAGTGATTTAGTAATAATGCAGACAGTAAATGAAAACCTCAGGTTATTGACAAGGCCTTACTATATATTGATTTAGAAAACACTGAAGTTACTTACTGATGTGACTGTGAGCTGGGGAAGGATTCTTTCAGTTACATGAGGGAAAGATGGCTTTATATAATACAAAGGACATGGGTTGTGACCTGTCAGCCATGCCCAAATCTCTGTTATGGCAGGGTAGGCTGGAAATTATATATGGCCTGATCAGCTGAATTGWTAGAGTTGTGGTTATAGATAATAACTATCAGATAATGACTTTTTACTGTGTCATATGTGGTTTGAGCTACTTCGGTGCAATTTTTCCTGTTTRTTTGCTAGATTCTTGACTTTAATGTTTTCTGTTATGACAACTTCCCCCACTCTCACTAAATGAATAKATTAAAACTGTAATTTTGAGATATTTCTCCCAAAGCTGAGACAAAATTTGCAGAATGAAATTCACCACCTACCTCCTACTGCCTTTCATTGTTGCCGATTTTATTCAGTGATGAATCAATATTAGACTCCAGCATGTGGGAAACCAAATCACCAGCAATGGTTGCTGTGTGCAGAACTACTTGAGGAATGGGAGCAGTGGAATAACTGATGTTGCACATCCTGAAAATCCTGTGCTGTGTCCTGAATATTGAAATTTTGAATATGAACTAGTTTGCTTTTAGTAGTCGTGATGCTTAAACTGATGATGTTTACTGGGGTTTAGCATGGTAGATACCCATCTGTCCTATGTACCTTTATAGAATTAGGCATTGACAGCCATCCAGTTCTTCAATATAATCCATTGTTGTAGACTGCTTGACAACTAAATTGACCAGAAGTACTTTGTCATATTTATTGTCTTTGTTGTATTGGCTGGTTGTTTATTGCAGTTTGTCATTATCCCCTTTTAAAGCACCCTTGAAATGCTTTACATTTGGATCATTGTAAGGAAAAATGCCTGTTCCAGCTCTCCAAAGAGGAAATGGATAAGAACTGGATTTCARATATTTTCTATGTGGTGTCGCAGCCAAAACCACTGGTTGCTGATAGCAGCCTGCCACAACACTGCTGCTTGAAAAGTGGGTGATTTGATCCACAATTCAGAACTAGCAGAAACCTCTTGCTTCTGTGGGTTACGYGTATAAAGAGTGTGAGCTTGCATTTAACAGGAAAAAGCCCAAATCACAACTGCTGYTGGCTTGTTTTATCAGAGGTTTGATTATGAAGATTAAAGAGTTTTTTGATAGTATAAGCTTGAGAGAAGACCTGCCAYGACACTGAATGAAGTTACTCACTGTAATACAGCTCAGTTAAAGCAAAGGCTTTTTCAGGCATTTGAGATTTCATGCATTTGTAAACTTAAAGTTATATGACTCCAAGAATATTTGCTTCAGGGTTTCACATGTTGGATACCTGTATTACTAATAAATGCAGTCCTTCCTAGAATGTTTTTGATTGTGAAATGTTCTGTGTACACATTTTCATGTGTGTTTGGTTTTCAGAGTAAGCTGCTGAGTTCTTAGATATGGAAGGAACTTCTGTAATTTTGTTGTAATCATTGCCTGATTCTTTTTTTAAAATRAGTTTTCCCTTTCTTTCTCTTGAATGCAGTGAGAAGCTTTTCAGAAAGTAAGGAAGGATTTAAAAAAATTAACCAGCATCCCCTTTTCTCCTATTTTGCTGGAAAGGTTTAGAAAAAGGGGACKAAGGAGGAGCAGAATTGTGTTGCCCTGAGGTCTATGACTTAAAACAGACACTGCTTTAAGATGAAACTGAGTTAAGATCTGATGAATCACTATCAGAATTAAAGCACGTATACCACAGTGCTGAGGAGTTCTCATCCCAGGCTTCAGGAGTGAKTTGTATCTGGCCCTAGTAGCTCAGGCAGTACCATAGCTTAAAAGGGTGACATCCTAATAGTTGTGAAGGATATTTGCAAGAAGGAGACAAGTTTCTAAATGYTTTTTATTTTCATTTGAAGCCTTTTCATCTGTAACTGTGACAACCCAGTGATACAGGTAGAGAGCTGCAAATGTACTACTTCTACAAAAATGGAGGAAAATCAGTAGACAATGTTGAGTAGCTGAAACAAGGTGCAGGAGGGTGTGTGGTGGYGTGAAGGTTTTACTGACAGTGTCCAAGATGCCCACATGAGTGAGTTATGCAGGTCACCCCAGATGGGTTCCAATGAAAGCTTTAATACTAACACAAACAGTCCTATTTATAGACKTATATCTCTGTCTAAATATAAACTGCTCCCAGTCATGTCTAGACTAACATCAGAGCGGTGCTTGTTGAAAGTGGGGGTAAAGAATTAACAGTACAAGCCACACTATTCTTCAGATGACTGCTTATTACAGTGAGCATCTAAACTTTGTGGCAGCAGTGCAGCTTTGAATGCCATGTGACATTGTGTCACCCAAGGCACCTCTTCCTYGAGTTTAGGCATCAGAAGGGTACACGTGGTAGACGTGACCTGTGAGCTGAGTACTCTCCTGCATGTCTTTAAAGCTTTGAGAATGTATTGGTGGGTGGATGGATGCATAGATCAGTAAATGACTTTCATTGCTAACTATTTTCAGCAGCTGGCTTTTAATGAGTCTTTCAACTGTTGCTGCTGTGTTTAATCTGCTCCCTTACTCAGCGTTCAGCATTAGAGRAGCTTTCTAGGAGGTAAATGTTGTCCTGATTACAGAAGAGGTTAGTTTGATTGTGTTCTGCACAGACCTTGTGGTTTTTTGTTGGTTTTTTTTTTTTTTTCTTTTTGTTAATTGAGAAATATTTGCTGTGCACACAGATAATTAGGATAAATAAGCAAGTGTTGTGCTTGGAAGTGCACATCCAAATACACAATTGCTATATTAAGATGAGTATCTTGGACTGCACCAAGTTAAAACYTGAGGTCCTGACTCTCTAGCACTGGTCTTACTGTCATCCCCTGTGTGTTTGAGTGGGTTTTCCTTTTAGATTTGTTATTTAATGTATATTAGTAAKGGCTGAATTGAATGAAACGGATGGCAAAAAGCATATTTTGCTTCCTTTTCATTTAACATAAGAGCTTTTCCTTAGTTCATTTGCTATGCTGCCTAATAGCTCTTAGCGAAATAAATAAGGAGAGAGCAGCTGCTCTTAAAGACAGGGAATACTTGAAACATGTAATGTACCAATGTGAAGAAAATGTAGTGTAGTGGTATTTCTGGTAAGTGTACTAAAAAAAAGATACATCTAGGAGCTTTGATCAAATGCCAGCTCTTACATCAGTCCTCTTTGTAATCTTTCTTGCTGATCTGTGACCTTGACCTTGTGTTTGTGTTTGTATGTCAAATCTATTTTAGGGATGGACAAACTAAGTTCAGTTTAATAGGATTTATACTCCAGCTCCCCAGGATAYCTTAGTAAAATACAAAAATTAAAATATTTGGATCAAGTAAGTTTTCAGGCATCTTTGAGATTTCCGTGGGTTTGAAAAGAAGTTTGCTTTCTGTTGTTAAGTTCTGTTTAGGAGATGCTTCTTGTAAAGACATCTTTATCTTTAAACTCTTCTAAATTCAGCCCAGGCGTTCTGCCCGGAGGTGGGGTTTTCTCTTCAAGCATCTCAGCAGTGGCCATGCTTTTGCTTGGCACTAAGTGAGGTTCAGCAGTGAGAGCAGTCCCTGCTCTTTGTCCTCCCTCATGCCACTYGTAATCCCATGTTCCCACATGGAGAGCTGCGAAACAGATGCTTGGCAGTGTCTTTGGGGTTTCTTTGGACTGTGACGAGGTCCTTAGTCTGGCTTCCCTTGTAGGAGCTTTGTGCCACGTGGGCTCAGCAGGTTCTTGAGCACAGTCCTTATTTTAACCATGTGCCAAGAGGGCAGCAGAGTTGGTTGGTGTAACCCTGACATTTTGGGTTTCATAAAGCCTTAGTGAAGCTGTTGGTTTTGTAGGCATTGTGAAATGGGGTCCCAAATTAGCCAATATTTAGGTGCAAGTATGGAGTAATGGATTTCTTTTTAATAGGTCTTATATTTCTGGGGTAATATTGTTTTATATAGAAAATCATACGCTTTCTTAAAAAGATCAACATTGCTTTGTTCTACACAATTTTGAATTTGGCATTAGCACATGTTTCAACTCTCTTGACAATAGTAGAACAAGAGTAATAAGTCTCTTTTTTTTCTATTGCAATTCTTTTCTTCATTAAAAACTYATTAAAAACAGAGAAGGTTTCCTTTCCACGACTTTGTGAAGGTATATTATCTTCTTAAAATGCATGGCACCTTTATCAGCGTAAATGTTGAGAAATTATTTCAAAGTATATGTCCTTACAGTGAGGGGTAGTTAAACACATCCCCTTGCCAGTTACCCATTGT